CTGAAAAGTTTGAAGATTGGATATTCTCTAGAGCAGCTTTATGAAGAAATGGTTTTACTACAGCAAATGTTTGCCCTGCCTTATGGTGTGAGAGGAATCAGATCTGAAGGGAAGGTGGTCTGGATCCAGGCTGAAACTTAGAGCAGTTCCAAAGGAGATCTCACAGAGAGGGAGTGTGGACCTTGAGTGTGTAATTTTTTGGGAGGCTATATCAGCTCATTTTTAAAACTATTGCTAACACTGATCAGCTTCTTTGTGTCAGGTGGTCTTCCAAGCACTTTATATACATTTGTTGTTGACAGGTGCTGTCAAATTGATTCGAATTCATAGCGACCCCGTGTGACAGAACTGCACCATAGCGTTTTCTAGGATGTAATCTTTACGGGAGCAGATCATTAGGTCTTTCTACAATGGGGCCTCTGGGTGGGTTCAAACTTCCGACCTTTCAGTTAGCAGCCACACGCTTAACCATTGCACCACAGATTCATTTAATCTTTATAGTAATATCACTGTAGGTAGATATTATCATCATCTGGATTTTACAGGCGAAGAAACTGAGTCACAGAAGTTCAGTGACTTCTCTAAGGTCTCACAACTAGTCAGTGGTATAGCTGGAACTGAAGCTCAGGAGTCTCGCTCACAATCCTTCTTTCTTCACCACTAACTTACCACCTTCCTGACCTTCATTTGTGGAGTATCCAGCTCTCCTAGGGAGGTGGGAATGCCCAGGGGTTCACAGCACTCCAAAAGCAAAGGCATTTGAAATTTCCCTTTATTTTGTAAGTTGATGCTATTTATATGTAAGTCATTGTTCCCCCAGATAGACCGAGTGTCTTGATTTCTTCCTTTGTTCCTAGACAGCACCATAGTGTAATAACAATCAACATGTATGTAGCACTTCCTCTGTGCCAACACTTTACATTGAATTGTCTCACAACAGCCTCTTGTGACAGCCACTGTCTTAGTTTCCTCTGGCCACCACCAGAAACTACCACCAATGTGATGGCTTTCAACAACAGAAATTTGTTCCGGAGGCCCCAAGGCTAAAATCAAGGTGTCGGCAGGGTTGGTTCCTTCTGGAGGCTCTGAGGCAAACTCTGTTCCACCTCTCCCTTCTAGCTTCTGGTGGCTCCCAGCAATCCTTGGTGTTCCTTGGCTTCGAGATGCATCACTCCAGTCTTTACCTCCGTCGTCACATGGCCTTCTTCTCTGTGTCCCTGTGTCTTCTCCTTTTCTTTCTCTCATAAGGACACCAGTCATTGGATTTAGACCCCATCTAAATCCAACATGATCTCAACTCAGGATCCTTAAACAATAACATCTGCAAAGATGGCACTTTCTGGGGTTCCGGGTGGGCATGGACTTTTGGGGGGTACTATTCAACCCACTAAAGACACCATCATTTTTTCCCTCTTTTGAAAGATGAGGAACGTCGGCATTACAACATGAGTTGGTGGTAATGCTGGGCTCTGAGCCCAGGCAGCCTGGTGTGAGCAGTGTCCTCACCTTCCAGGTGCCATGATCAGAAGGGCAGGCCCAGAAATGAGAACCCCTGGACTCCAATCCTGACTCCACGGTGACCTTGCCTTATGCTTTTGGTCCGGTTACTTAATCTCTTTGGGCCACAGATTTCTCATTTGTAAACCTGGGATAACAGTTCACACTCGCAGTGCTGTTAAGAGGATTAAATCTGTTAATACAGGTAAAACATGAGATAATGTATGTAAAGCTCTTGCAAAGGTGTGAGGCCTGTGGTTGTGCCTTTCAGTAGATCTCAGCTCTTATAATTGTACAAATATTGTTGAGCACCTGTTACATTCCAGACAGCGCTGTGGTGCATGCTATATCTGGTGCCAGGCAACTGTCTGTGTGTGGACAGGACGATTTATTATCAGGGTGTCAACAGTATTGTCTTGAGATGGTTGTGACTTCAAGTTGTAGCTGTCCTTGCTTGTGGATGATCATTACTTTAGTTTCCTTCCAATCCCTTTCCTTGTTATAGGTTGTTTGATTTACTCTAACGTAGAAAACATGTTTATCTACATATTTTGGCGAATGAATTTCCAATCACTGGACTGTAAGTGTCTTTTGCTGACCAAACATGAATGTTTTTTATCTCCTGTGGCTAAAGCGGAACATAAAATTCCCCACCCCAGCCATCCTCACACGATTTGCGTGTCTAGTGATGCTTCACCCAGTTTCCTCAGGTGGAAAATGGGAACAGAGATAATACCTGCCGCCATGGGGTTGTGTGAGAATCAAGTGCATGAACAGATGATATAAGGCATCAGACAGTGCTAACACATAGAAGATTTGCAAGAAATTTTAGCATTTGTTTATAAGTTCTTTTTCTACCCTAAATAGGTTACTGGGGGAGGGTGAACCATGGTCTTGGGCTGTGGCCAAAACCATTTAAGACTCGCTGGTCTAGGCTGAGCTGTGTTCCTCTTTATATTTCCAAGTGCCTCATAGACAGAATCCACCACTCAAGAAATTTCTCCTTAAATGTTAGTGGACTGGATGAGTGATATGTGGTAGAGAAGAGTTCCACAGTATTGACGATTTTAGAGTTCTGAATGCGTGCTTCCTCCCCCAGCCCTTCCCCAAGGCAGATGGTGAAGGAGTTGACTCACCTATTGCAAAGTTCAGGAGTCCCCAAGGCCACCCCCACTTCTCACACTGACTGCAAGGTCGGGAGCGCCCAAGACCAACCTCAGGTTCAATAATTTGCTAGAAGGACTCACAGGATTCAGAAAAGCTGCTGTGCTCATGATGTGGTTTATTAAAGTGAAAAAATACAGCTTAAAATCAGCTACAGGAAGAGGTGCATGGGGCAGGGTCCAGGAGATGCCAGGCATGAGCTTCTAGTTGTCCTCTCCTCGTGGAGTCACGGACAGTGCTAATTTCCCTAGCGACATGAAGTATTGCCAACCAGGGAAGCTCACCTGAGCCCTGGAGTGCAGAGTTTATACTCGAGGGTTGCTCGTGTAGACTTGGCTAATTACCATGTGGCTGACCTCAGTCTTCAGCCCCTCCAGAGGTTGAGCTGATACTGCGGGGCCCAAAGCCGCCTCCATAAATGACATTGTTAGCATGGACTATCTGGCATGGCCCAAGTCCCCCAGCTAAACAAAGATACTTTTCAGGCAGGACATTCCAAGGGCTGAGAGGCCACCTCCCAGAAGGACGGGATCTGAATCCCTGGAGAGAGTTGCCTTTGCCAGCAGGGACTTCTCAGGAGACACCATATGCAGGAGCTACAGGTGGACGTCTTCATCAGAGTCCGTGCAAAGGTCACAAAATAAAACGCAAACCAGCTGCTGCTGAGCTGACCCCACCACATGACCACCCTACTTGTGTCAGAGTAGAACCGAGCTCCATAAGGTTTTCAGTGGTTGATTTTTCAGAAATGGATCGCCACACCTTTCTTCCAGGGTGCCTCTGGGTGGACTCCAACCTCCAGCCTTTCAGTTAGCAGCTGAGTGTGTTAACTGTTTGCACCACCCAGGAACTCCATTAAGATCTACAGGAGGCAGGAACATTTCTTTTGTTTTTCTGAATTATTTCGTTTTTTATTGCTGTCAGCGAAAATATACACAGCAAAACATACACCAGTTCCACAGTTTTTACATGTACAATTCAGTGACACTGAGTACATTCTAGTTGTGCAACCATTCTCAGCCTCTCTTTTTCATTTAATTAAATATGTAGGCTTTTGAATCCCCTGACGCCACCCCAGGGTCCCTGTGGTAGGTGGCAAAATCTAGGGGTTTCCGGAAAACCCTCAGTCCGCAGCTCTCCCTCCCATTGCTTGAAATATTGCCATTCGAAGTTCTCTCTTTGGGTCTTAAAGGTTTTTTGATTTTGATAAATTTTTTTTTTTTTAGATTTCAGCCTCCCCTGGGAGGGCTCGTTCACCTTTTTCTAACTGGCATCAGCCACCCTGCTGTTGTGCATGGATTAGATTAGTTTCTCTCTCTGGGGAATCTTTGCTTCTGCGTTCTGGTGATGGTGGCCTGTCTGTCTTCACGTACCTCTTTGCTGACAGACCTCTAATTCCTGCACATACTGTTTTCTGTACGTGGCAGTCCTCTTTTGTCTTCTGAGAAGAGTGTCCAGAGCCTCACTGGGCAGTAACCCTTGCCCCACAGGCCTGGGGAAGCAGAGGGGGGTCAGTGACCCTACAGCCGAGCGCCACCGACACTCTGCAGGGTGAGTCCTCACAAGTCAGAGGGCTCCCTTTGGGTATTAGGTACATTTATTTAAGGCCCACGGAGGTGTGGCTGCTCCACGGCGGTGCTGTCATCCTAGCTGTTCTCCGACATGTCCATAGCACTTCCGGGGCATCCCAAGGCCGCTCTTCGAGGCCCTGGCCCGCCCAGGAGGCCCCACTGTTAGAGGGGCAGGCCCTGGCTTTGCAGCAGCCCTGGGGTCATTGCAGGGGCAGCAGGGATTGAAGACGCCCAGACCTGACCTCTCCCGGCCTTTCTCAGTGTCCGGAGCGCCTGACTCCTCGATTCTTCCTCATGGAATTAGGTTCTGGGAACACGTTGCCGGGCAGCATCTGCCGCTCCATCTGGCCTGAGCGCTGCGCCTGCTGTCTCCCCGTGCCACTCCAACCCAGGACCTCTCCCGGCCCCTTCACCCACGGGGACGCCACGTCTCTGCGTGCAGACGGGCCTGCAGATCCATCACTCCTGCACATACCTGTCTCCACCTGTCTCACCAATGTCACTCCAGGATCCCTAGACCAGTACACATTCTGCTCCAACAATTAGATGGAAAAATGGATGTGTACAGCAAGACGCTGGGTCTCATATTCGGGGAGCTTGTGTAAGTAAACGGGTTACAAAGCAACTGATTGCCACCCTCCCCACACCCCCCGGAGGAACGAGGAGGTGCTCTGGTGGTTTTTCCCAGGTGATCTGGCTCACGCTCTGTATTTTATTACCTGTTTAGAACTAAAATGATCTTACATATTTTTTCTTTCCACCCAACAGAATTAGGGCTGCCACAGGAGTAAAGATAACAGCGGTGAGAGTCAGCAGTGAGGACCAGTGGGCCGTCCAGGAGGACATAGAAAACGGCAGCGAGCAGACCACGGCCACCCTCACCTGCGTGGGCCACCCCTCGGATATGCAGAGCAGGTGAGCCGCACATCCTCAAGGCACCTTGGCAGCAACAGGGTGAGCGGTGGCTGCAAGAGCTGATAGCGAGATAATGAGTTACTTTGCTTTTATGGCACGTCGCTGCTCTGCTGAATAGTAATGCGTTCCCCTTCGCTCATCCGCGCAGCTCAGCCGCGCGGCTTCCAACGGCCCCGTTATGGTGATGTGCGACCGGATGAAGCTTTTATGCACTGTTCTCTTTATATGCAAACAACCCGATTAGGTTGACAGTCTCCAAAATTACCTGAATTCACATTTGTCACAGTGTGGGGTTTGATAACGGTATTTTAAAATTTTATTTTTGTTATTGTTTGCAATGAGGAGTTGAAGACTGAAGTGGGGAAAATAGACATAATTTAAGAGGGGAGGAGAAAATGCACTTTGTTATGAGCAAAATGAAGGTGGCTAGAGCTCTTGGGTAATTGTCCTTTAGTGCTTAAATGTAGTCGTTTTGCAGATATCACACATGGGTATTGGTGCGTGTCTCCGACTTCAGAATGCTAAGCCGGGTGAACACGGCATTGCTGGTAGGCAGCTGTCTTCTCCAGCTTAGATGCTGGCCGCGGGGCTTATTGGGTTGAACTCGCCTGGAACGCTGAGAGAGCTCATCGCTGATTCTCTTGTGTTGGGACACCCAACAGGTAGAAAGAGCTCTCAGCACAGCTGCATCAGCCTTCTCTACTCACAATCTCTTTAAAAATATATGTAACGAAAAGTTTACCGTTTTAACCATTCTTAAGTATATAGTCCGGTGGCATTAATTCCATTCACCATGTTGTACAGCCATTGCCACTATCCATTTCCAAATGTTTTTCAGCACACTAAACAGAAACTCAGAGGCCCTGAGTGGTGCAAACCTTTAAGAGCTTGGCTGCTAACCAAAAGGTTGGCAGTTCGAGTCCATCCAGAGGCTCTTGGGAGAAAGGCCAGGCGATCTGCTTCCGAAAGATCACAGCCATTGACAGCCCTATGGAGCACAGTTCTCCTGTGACACAAATGGGGTTGTCATAAGTCACAGTCGGCACAATGGCAGCTGTGTTTTTTTTCTGTTGTTAGACAGAAACTCAGTACCCCTTAAGGAATAACTTGCCGTTTCTTCCTCCCCCAGCCCCCGTAACCACTAATCAGCATTGCTGTCTATGCATGTGCCTATTCTGGGTAGTTCATGTAAGTGGGATCATGCAGTATTTGTCCTTTTGTGCCTGATGTGCTCACTCAGCATCACGTTTTCAGGGCCCGTCCGTGTCGTGTCATAGTGTGTGTCACGACTTCATTTCTCTTTGTGGCTCAATACTGCTCTGGAGTCTGTTTGTCTCTACTCTCTTCCCCTTTTACTGGGCCCTCATCTGTCTGAGAAGAGCACTGGTGGCCCGATACTTAAGCGCTTGGCTGCTAACCGAAAGGTTGGTGGTTCGAACCCACCCAGTGCCTCCGCAGGAGAAGCAGCCAGTGATCTGCTTCAGTAAAGATTGTGTTGCTGTTGTTAGGTGCTGTTGAGTTGATTCCAAATCATAGCAACCCCATGTGACAGAGTAGAACTGCCCCATAGGTTTTTCTTGGCTATAATTTTTACGAGAGCTGATCACCAGGTCTTTTTCCAGCGGAGCAGCTAGATGGGTTTGAATCGCCAGCCTTTCGATTAGCAGCCTAGTGCTTAACTGTTGTGCCACTGGGGCTCCTTCTGTAAAGACTACAGCCTAAAAAACCCTGTGGGCAGTTCTACTCTGTCACATGGGGTCACAATGAGTCAGAATTGACTGCATGGCACCCAACCACACTGCAACATCTGTATGAGACCATGTCTTACTTATCTAGTGTAGTTGTAAGAGAAATACCACAGGTGGGTGGCTTTAAGAAAGAGAAGTTTATTCTCTCACAGTTTAGGAGGCTAGAAGTCCAAATTCAGGGTGCCTGCTCCAGGGGAAGGCTTTCTTTCTTTGTTGGCTCTAAAGGAAAGTCCTAGTCATTAATCTTCCCCTGGCTGAGGAGCTTCTCGGGGCAGGGACCCCCAGTCCAAAGGACACGCCTTGCTCCTGGTGCTTCTTTCTTGGTGGTATGAGGTCCCCATGTCTCTCTGCTTTTTTCTCACTTTTATATCTCAAAAGAGATTGGCTTAAAATACAGTCTAATCTTGTGGATTGAGTCCTGCCTCATTAACATAACTGCCACTAATCCTACTTCATTAGCACCATAGAGATAGGATTTACAACACATAGGAAAATCACATCAGATGACAAAATGGTGGACAATCACACAATACTGGAACTCATGGACTAGCCAAGTTGACACATTTTGGGGGGACATAGTTCAGTCCATGACAGACTGCTTGAGTCGTCTGGCTGGTATGCCACTCGGCAACACAGCCTCTCTGTTTAAAGCCATCCTTGGTTCACACTTACCCAGGATGAGGCTCAAAGTCCTCAGCTTGGTACCTAAGATCGTCTTTTGTCACAACTTGTTCTCTTTTCCTCCTTTTTGGGTCTGTGAGCTCTTTAGGGCCCACAGTGTTAGGCACAGAGGATGCACTGCCTGAGTAAAGGAGAGAGTGAGTGGGGGGAGCCTGAGAAATGGGATGATTGAGTCAAGGCTGTCCTTTCCAATGGAGTCGTGTGGTGAGGGCTGCCTGTTCTTGGGTGACCCCATCCAACCCCAGCTGGAACTCTGCCTGGCTTTGAAGATCTCTTTCAAAGGGAGACAAGTGACTCAGGTGGAATGGTTAAAAGCCTCTGTTAGAGAATAATTTGGTCTAGTGACCTGGATGCCTCTTGTCTGAAGTCAGTATTCTGGCCGTTGTCCTTTCCATCCATTGAAAGCGCAGACCTCACTTGACCCATGATGTTCCTGGAAATCTGCCGGCTGAACACTCCCAGATCCTGTGTCGTTCATCTATGGAGAGAACCTAGGGTTTTTATGTCTGTTCAGGTGCTTCCATTTGCAAGTGATCGAATACCCACCTAAAAATGGCTGCAACAGTACCCCAAAACCAGACCCGTTGCCGTTGAGTTGATCCCAACTCGTGATGACCCCGTGTGTTACAGAGTAGAACTGTGGTCCATAGGGTTTTCTTGTCTTTATTCTTTTACTGAAGCAGATCGCCAGGCCTTTCTTCTACAGAGCTGCTGGGTGGATTTGAACTGTCAACCTCTAGATTACTAGTCAAGCACACACGCACTACCAGGGCTGCCTGGCTGCACCAATAGGGTTTTATTGTCTCTCATAACAGGAGATCTAGGAGTAGGTGGTTCCATGGTTGTGTGGCTGGTTAATCCAGCAGCACCACTGTGTCATTCAGCTGTTTTCTCTCTTTCCACTCTATTATACCTGGTCTGCTGGCTGTTGTCTTCCAGCTTGTTTCCTCATGGTCACAAGATGGCTGCAGCAGTTCCAGACATCACAAACTCACCCAGCCATATCCAAAGACTGGAAGAGAAGGGACTTCTCCTCATACATCTCTTTTTATCAGAGAAGAAAACCTCCCCAACAGTACCCCTGAAAGTCTTCCCTTTAGATCTCACTGGTAAGCAGGGGGTTCCATGCCTTTGTCCAGGAAGCAGGGAGTCCGGGAAAGTATGTGTTGGGATTATTTTCAGCCTCTGTAGAGGAAGGAAGGAGCCCTGGTGGCGCAGTAGTTAAGCGCTTGGCTACTAACCAAAAAATTGGCACTTTGAACCCGCCAGCTACTCTGCGGGTGAAAGATGTGGCAGTTTGCTTCTGTAAAGATTACAGCCTTGGAAACTATATGGGGCAGTTCTGCCTTGTCCTATAGTGTCAGTATGAGTTGGAATCAACTCGATGGCAATGGATTTGGTTTTTTGGTTTTGGTAGTGGAAGGTGGTCTCTGCTGTTCCGGAAGAAGGGCAGAAGAATGGCTGCGGGGGGGTCAGCTAGCAATGTCTGCCACACGCTTCAAAGGCGGTGTGTCTCAGGGTTATAGCTTGAGTCTCTTTGTGCACAAGAGCCCTGAGTGTCTGTGACCCTGGTGGAAGACTTCCTCTTGGTTGCTGAGGTGACCGTCAGATGAACTTTGTCCAATGGTACCATTAGGCGCTGTGCTAAGGAAGCCCAAGTAAAAAGGGACGTAAGTCTCTCATGGGAAAAGTCCATGGGTGGACTAGTGCAGGGAGGTCTGGATCCAGCTGCTCAGCAGTGTCCTTAGTGACCTGTCCCCTTGTCTTTCCTCTGGGTGGGCTTTTTCTCAGGTAGGCTATTCCCTCCTGGGGACAAGATGGCGCCAGCTGCTCCCAAGTCTGTCCCACTGACTCAGTCACTTGAGGAATAAGCTTCTCTCCCCAGACAGGCCCACACAAGTCCTGTGGCTGGTTGTCATTGTCTCAGCTTGGGGTAACTTGGACCATGTGTCCACCCTGAACCCGTCACTGTAGCCAGCCTGGAAGCAGGGGGTAGGTGGGCCCCACCTGAACCACATGGGCTGAACATGGGGGAGGGGCTTTGGGAAGAGTGGATGCTGGGAGGGAGAGACTGTAGGTGGTCCTGCAGGTACAGGTTTTGCCAACCTGCCTGCTGTGCAAGAGGAGTCTGGATAGGATTTTCTGACTCTGCAGCCTCAGAAATATATGCATGTGTGTATATATATGTTGATGTGTGCCACTGAGTTGATTCTGACTCACAGAGACCCTATAGGACAGAGTAGAACTGCCTCATAGGGTTTCCTTGGCTGTAATCTTTATGGAAGCAAATTGCCACATCTTTGTTCCATGAAGCAGCTGGTGGGTTCGAACTGCTGACTTTTCAGTTAGCAAGAGAGCTCTTAACCAGTGCACCACTAGGGCTCTCTCTCTCTCTCTATATATATATATATGTGTATATACATATGTATGGTCCCTGGGTAGTGCAAACAGTTAATGTGCTCTCTGCTAACAAAAAGTTGGTGGTTCAAGTCCATCCAGAGGTGACCCAGGAGGAAGACCTGTCAGTCTACTTCCAAAAGGTCACAGCCATTGAAAACCCTACTGAGCATG